CAGGACAAAAATGATTTATTTTGCGGTTTCACAAACAAACAGTCACCACACAAATAACAAATGAACTAAAAGTCTGAGGAAGAGCTTTGTGCTGGAAACATCACACAGCAAAACAAGAGGTATTTGATCTGGCTCCATTTTGTTGGTTCTGGGATATGTGCATGCATGTCATTTTCACAGCTTATTATTGGACTGTCACTGGTGGCCTGCGCTGTGGGTGAGAATGACAGAGATGCAATTCCAAAAACTTCAGGCAACCGCTGTCCAAAAGTCCAAGCAGACCACACCAAGTGCACTCCTTGATCGCCTGAGCGGATCCTGTGCTTTTTATCTAGCGCCCCTGATGTCACCCTCCAGCATCGCAGCTCAAGTTACACTGCGCATGTGCAGACCCCCCATGTTTGATCCCGTGTCTCAGCCTTCTCTTGAATAGCCTTGGAAACTGTTGGGAAACTGTATGACTTCACCGCGGCTTTTTGTCACCGCCCCCTGCTGCGGCCGCCTGCTCTCGTCTACTTTCCAGGCAAGGCGCAGTTCATCTCGGGAACTGCCCATTGGTTCGACAGCCCATTGGTTCGACAGCCCATTGTTCCGACCATATTAAACTCATTGTTCCGAAGTCTGTTCCTAAATCATCATGATGCCCTGTGGTTAAGGTCTGGTTAGGTTTAGGCACAAAAACCACTTGGTAAGGGTTAGGAAAAGATCATGGTGTGGGTTAAAATGAAAAAGAAAGTGACAAACTCATAAGCCGTGAGCCTGCTCCGTCTCAAGCCGGTCGCGGCACACCATACGCCCGCCGCGAGCCGTTCAGCACCGCAGACAGTCGGACCAATGGGCTGTTGAACCAATGACATGGACCCGTTCATCTCGAACGAGCCTATTAGCGAGGTGGACGGTGATAACACTGCGTGGAGGATTGACAAGCACGCACATGTGCTAACAGCTGTACCCACACGTATCCTATCGCCATTTTCCCAAGCTAAAATACAAAAGACTTGGAGCACACACCTCTCAACCACCTACTAATACACAAGCCACATTTTCTTTATTATTCGTGTTAAGGGTGCAGAATGGGTTTCCTTTTGACTAATATCAGAGACAATACACATACAGTAGCTACTCAAACGTGAATATGTAGTATTTGGTGGAAAATAAATGCATTTGTGAGCGAGGCAGAGTGCAGATTAAATGGCAATTTTGCCTTGTTGCAGGAGATGCTTGAACAGAAAGACAAATAACTCGCCGTGTTCGATGACTGACGTGTGACGTACCCACCCAGGTAGAGGCCGCATTTGAAATCGTGTTGCTGACCATTATGTCATCCAACCAGCGGGAAACAGAGGCGGGACATAGCCCCGTCAATCATGCAGACATTTCAGCGGTTTGAATAGGCTGGGCGAGGCGGGGCGAGGCGAGACGGGCGGGGGGGTCCAATCCGGTTTGAGCTAGTTCTTCTTCCAATGGAACATTAATGTCTCGCTGCGCAGTGTTAGACTGTACTGGTACAGCTTTATCCACAATACAGGTACCACTGTATTTTCATCTGTACTGGGCAACAGTAAGCTGTTTCTCTTTTCTTTAAACACCCCACACAAACCAGCCATGCCTAAACGGAGACATGTGAGTACACCGACATCTCTCGTGCATTCAGCAGTACGGCATTTATAACCCCCAACTGCAGTTTGTAAAATGGGCTTGTTAAGCTTGAGGTAGAGTTGTTAAAATGTTGCTGCAGATGACCGTTTTCTGCTCAAGGTGTGTGTCCTGGTGTTGCTGCTTGCAGCAGGAGTTAAGTTAAAGTCTGTTGCGATTTTCTCTAGTGGCTGCTTCTTTCTCCTATCTCTCTCGTGTAATTATTATCTTTGTGCCAATTGCTTTTCCGTGTGCGGATTTTCACTGCAGAATGGTGACACGCACAATCGCAAGTGCGTATAAATGCATTTACTTGCATTGTAAGGACAAAGAGCGATTATTTTCCGTGTCGATGGTTGCTTTGCTGCCAAGAAAGTTGGCGGCATATTGACTATTTCCTATGGGGCTCGTCACGCCGGATACTTAAGTTTCTTTGAGAGAAAATGCGACCACATCGACAACGTCTAATGTAGCAGATACTCGGTCGGAGCTGGGTTTAATGTCAGTGTTTTTGTATGAGCACCGTGTCTTGTTTACGGCCCTCGTGTGGAACGAAAACACATATGATATGAATACATGAGGACCTCTCTCTTCCAAAAACCAAGCATGCATGCGTAGGCTATTTCTTATTACCGCATGGCCGCCCGTTTTTTCCCCACTGAAAATTAATTCCTTGGAAGGCGTTCTTTGTGCTAGCGTTGTTTGTTTCTGTGTATTGTCGGCTCAGGCCAGTCGAAGGTTATGCAATGGCGAGCCTCCGTCAGTGAAGCGCTGCTCTTGTTGCTGGGTGTTCTAGTAGATTTTGCTAGCAGAACGACAGACTCTTAAAATTCATGGCGGGAACGCTCTCTACACTGCTCGGTTTTCTCTGTACACTAGTAATTGCACTTATTACCAATGAATGGATGTGTCCTGAAGAGGCGGAGTCCGCCCGCTTCTCCACCGGAATTTTGTAGCAGCCTGTACAATTAAGTCAGTTGAAGGAGCTTGAACAGCACGACCGCTGTTATAACTACTACATGATGCCTATGATATTGTGTTACGACTTCTGTATTCAAGCGAGTCACAGGGCGCTTTACCTCCTTGTTTTATTGTTTGTAGACAAAGTAGTTCTTAATTTTGATATGTTGCTAATATTCATAAGTGGTATTTGTGATTTCTAACATGCTTAAGAAGTGAGCCTTTTAGCCTTTACAAGGACTGCTTAATTGTTAAAGATTTTTAGATTATTTCTCAGCCAATCTCAGCGCTTGGTGTGAACTAAATCATGTATGGAGCTACATGTGAGTCCATAGGCTTATATTCTGTCTGGAAACGCCCACTTTATAGTTACATAACTAATGCTGAAAGCTCATGACCCACTCACCAACTCAGCACAGGCACAGACAATTGCAGACAATTTCCTTAAACTGATTTTTTTTTTCTTACAGGAACCAGGAGTCTCAGTGGTAAGGAATAATTAAACATATTTTTAACAGACTTGTGTTTATTTCATTTTTAAACTAATGAAACAGTCTGTGCACCCACAGGGGGTCAATAAAACCACATCAGTGAGAGCCACTGGTTGATATGTTAAAAAAAATCACCCTGTCTGTTTACTGTCTCTGCAGCCCAGGAGGAGATCTCCAAGGTTGAAAGATGTAAGTACGAATCCAGACTGTCACAGTAAGTTTGTTTGATGTTCATTGCATTCTTAGTGCTGACGTAGTGTTTGTTGCCACAGAAACCTGAAAATGCAAAGGCAAAGACAGAGGCCAAACCTAAGCCAAAGGTGGGAGCTTTTTTTCTTTTAATAATTCTTATTATTAGACTCTCAGCTGTTGAATTAGTGACTAATGCGATTTGTCTTTCTGTATGCAGAAGGGACCTGCTAAGTCTAAGAAAGCTAAGGAGGTGGAGAAAGCCAAGCCTGATGAGAAAGCACCAGACACCCCTGCTGAGAATGGCGAAGCCAAAGCTGAGGAAGAGGTAAGGCTCATGGCATCAAATATAAACATGCAAAATAAAGTTTGTCCCTTTGGTGATTAAGCTGTGACACTTTGTCTTCCAGACACCAGCTACAAACGCAACTGAACAAAAAGATGAAGCGGCAGAATAACATTTCTCCAACCACATCTTTTACCAGTGCTCCCTGTACCTCTTTTCTTGTACAATTCAGGGGAATATTTTTATCAACTATTTTCTAAATACAGGTTTTTTAGTAGTTTGATTGTAGAGAACACTTTTTTTTAATGAAAGAAAAAAAGTCAATTTGGAGACGGGAATTTTCATCACATCCCACAATTTTGCATCGCCGTAGAATTTGCGGTCATTGTTGTTACTGTCAGTGGATTTCATTTTGAGTTTAAAATGTCAATGGGGGGGGGGGGGGGGGGCAGGACAGGTTACCTTGTCAATGTGCAAGCACAGCATTAACAGAAGCTGGGGCAACAACTGGAAGAGCTTGTCTGCATGGGTTACATTCCATATGTTTTTAAGTGTGTGTAATCTGTGCTGGGGTGGGAATGGACAAAGTCACAGGGCAACTTTTTATTGTTTTATTGTTTATAATAAAGACCAGTGTTTTAGAATGTTTTAAAACTTTGTTCCTGTATGTTAACTCTTGTACTCATGCAGTTTTCTTAATGAATCAGATCAATAAAGCTAAAATCCCTAGTACTGGAGCTCTCTTTATCAGAACCGTGCATCACGTGTATTAGTTGTGTCTCTGTTCTGTGATAGCATCTAAATAAATTTGTATAGCTGCTGTGTAAAGGGGTTTCAATCTCTATATTCAGTGTGTAATGGTACATTGTTAGGATGATTCAAAAAATGATTGTTTTCTTCACCAAGCTATTGAGGAGTGTAACCATAAGAAACAAACTGTTGAGAATGGCCTCTTAAAGACCAACAGACAAACTACATTTATTTGAGATGTCAAATGCATACCAACGGTAGCAATATTCATGTGGATTTTAGATTTCTGTATCAACTACACGTGTGCAGGTAATTTGGATTTGTTTATAGATGTACCTGTGTAATGATTGTTATCAACAAACCAATAAAACTTGGTTGGTAGGTGTTACGCTGTTTTATTCTGGAAACACTAAAAGTTGCAGATACAAGACTGTAAAAACATTAACTCCAAATTTCAAGGCAAAGATGGAAGGTGTATATTACAAAAACACAAACATAAATATATATATACATATATATATATATATATATATAAATAAACACAAATATATATGTGTGTGTATATATATATATACACACACACACCCACACATATATACATGTATATACACACATATATGTTGGACTGCACACTCTCTCTGTGCACCCCTCCCCGCCCTCACAGGCATCCTGCCTGCACCCTGTTTGAAATGTCTCCTGGTGCCTATTGAGCAGGTGACAGAACAGTTTCAGCACCATGGACAGCTTCTCATTGGACTGTTGGTGTATCAGCTGTTGTTCAGCCTTTAGTTCTCCTTGTGTCGCATGTACATTACTTTTGACAAAATTGTATGAAACGTCAGTGTTAGTAAAAAAAATCGATGATGTGCCTTGTGCCCTGACGGATCTTTGATGTAACCTCATAGCGGCAGCACTTTCTTTTCCGTCCCTGCCATCGTTGGTCTGCACAGAAAGTCAGGAGGGAGTCACAGAATTTACTTTGCCTGTTTTTCCACCATCTGCTGTCAGATGATTTCCTGTATTTACACACAAACATGATACTGCCTATAACTACAGCGACTCAAATGTCCTGAAGACATCCCTTCCTAATGATAATTTCATGTAATTATGTTGTAATATGTTGTATGTAAGTATGTTATTATAATGACAAAATGCACGGTCCCTCATATAGGCAAACATTCACTCTGAGGTTCATTTGAAGCTAATATGTTGACATATTATGTTATGCTATACTTATCTATATCATAATTTTCATCATTTACCAAATGCTAATATGTTACACAGATTTTTTCATTATATTGTATATTTATATTAAATCTCTGACAAACAGCAAATACTTAGACCATAACTTACCATTACAGTTAAAAGCTTTTATTACAGTTTTTCCTAAGCTTAAATACATTTCTTGAAACTACAGCTCAATGTCACAAACTCTAAAGACAAAACTGAGAAGAGTTACCACCTTGTCAGACCTCTACAAAATTAAACCCTGCACTCAAAATCATGTTCTGTCTTTTCAAAATTGATTCCTGATTCTACCCACCAAAACCATATGTCTGCTGCTCTGTAGAGCAGAAATTACGTAAGCACTGTGTGATAAATTTAAACACTACCATGAAAATACTGTTTATATATGTCTTGGCTTCATGGGGCACTTGCTACATATTCTAATTTATAAAACAATGTAGAAAATGTTTCCTTTTTCCACTTTTTTTTTTTTTTTTTTTTTTTTTTTTTTTTTTTTTAAGAGTTCAGGGGATTTTTGTCCCAAAGTTGATAACACTTTTTTGGTATATACAGTATACTATAAAGACTGTTGCCATACTGTAATACTGTACTTTGAATATTACAGCAAATATTCTATTGATGACACCATTATCAGCATAGGAGAAAATGTACATTTGTCTATCCAATGAACTGCAGTTGGGCAAAATTTACAATCCCAGCATGGAGAACTGAGAGGAAGGCCTACAAACATTTATTTTTATCAGTTCATTCAGCTCAACATTGTACTGTATTACTTTTTCATCTTTACATCTCCCGAAAGACACTTTAAACATTTTCCTACTGTAGTTTTTCTAATTTTACGTACAATAACAGTTCAGTTACAGGGAGTTTCAACATTTGTATATTCTCAGAACTACTGCACTATCAAATATACTGTAAGTCTACATGATGACTCTGGGAAGCTAATTGAGTTGAAACAGGTGAGACGGGAGTGAGGCTAGGTGGTAATTAGGGTGTGTTATTTCAGAGGCAGGTGTTCTCCAGATGAACAAAGTGCTCTAAATGATGCAGTTGGTGCTCAGATTTATGCATAGATGTGATTTAGTATTTCTATTTAATAATAATAATACATTTTATTTATATAGCGCTTTTACAACTCTCAAAGACACTTTACATTTAAAACAAAGAAAAGAAGTACATACAAAAAAAGGGGGGGGGGAGTGAAACAGAGAACGAAAAGCTAATGTTTAAAGGTTAAAAGCAGATTTGAAAAGGTGGGTTTTGAGGAGTGATGTGAAGGTGGATGGATCTGGACAGTCACGGATGTGTATAGGGAGGGTGTTCCAGAGGGAGGGGGCGGCTATGGAGAAGGCTCTGTCGCCCCAGGTTCGGTGCTTGGTCCTGTGTGGAGGTGAGAGGAGGTTTTTGTTGGATGATCGAAGGTTGCGGGAGGGAGTGTGGTGGTGGAGCATGTCCGTGAGGTAGGAGGGGGCCTGGCAGTGGAGGGCTTTGTGGGTGAGGAGGAGGATCTTAAAGTTGATTCTGTACGGGACAGGGAGCCAGTGTAGGTTTTTCAGGACAGGGGTTATATGTTCACGGGAGCGGGTGTGGGTGAGGAGGCGGGCAGCAGAGTTCTGGATGTACTGGAGTTTGTTGAGGACTTTGGATGATGAGCCGTAGAGGATGCTGTTGCAGTAGTCGAATCTTGAGGTAATAAAAGCATGGATGAGAGTTTCAGCGGCAGAGAAGGAGAATAATGGACGGAGACGGGCAATATTTCTGAGGTGAAAGAAGGCAGTTTGGGTGAGGCGGCTGATGTGATGTTCAAATGTGAGGTTATTGACGAAGGTGATACCAAGGTTGCGGATGAATGGGGAGGGAGAGAGGGTGGTGTTGTCGATGCTGAGGGTGAAGTTTTGTGTTGATGTAGAGAGGGATTTTGGGCCAATGAGTATTATTTCAGATTTGTCACAGTTCAGTTTGAGCAAGTTGGTTTGCAGCCATGATTGGAGTTCAGTCAGACAGTTGGTGAGGGTCGAGCGGGTGGCTGGGGTGATGGATTTTGTGGAGATGTAGATTTGGATGTCGTCAGCGTAGCAGTGGAAATGGAGACCATGACGACGAATGATAGAACCAAGGGGGAGTATGTAGATGATGAAGAGGAGAGGACCAAGCACCGAGCCCTGAGGGACATCTTGAAGCAGGGGGACAGTGGAGGAGGTGCAGTTGTTGACATGGATGAACTGTCGGTGAGGTTTGATTTGAGCCAGGAGAGAGCAGAGCCAGTGATGTTGAGGGAAGTTTGGAGGCGGGATAGCAGAGTGGTGTGGTTGATGGTGTCAAAGGCAGCAGTGAGGTCAAGGAGGATGAGTATGCTGAGGTGGCCAGAGTCGGCAGAGAGGAGGAGGTCGTTAATGATTTTGAGGAGAGCGGTTTCAGTGCTGTGTTGAGGGCGGAATCCGGATTGAAATGGTTTATATAGTTCATGAAAGCGGAGGTGGGTCTTGATTTGGGAGGCGACAACATGTTCCAGAATTTTTGACAGAAAGGGGAGGTTTGAGATGGGACGTAAATTTGAGATGATGTCAGGGTCCAGGCTGGGTTTTTTGAGGATGGGGGTGATAGCGGCCAGTTTCAGGGATAGAGGGACAGAGCCAGAGGTGAGGGAGGAGTTAATGATGGTAGTGATGAGTGGGGAGATTGTTGGGAGGCAGACTTTGATGATGGAGAATGGTATGGGGTCCAGGACAGAAGTGGAGTGGCTCTTCATCTTGGAGATGATGGGGAGGAGTTCCGGGGGTAGACAGGGGAGAAGTGTGACAGTGGTTGAGTGGTGGTGGAGGTGGTGAGCGGCGGAGAGACTGAGATGGGGGGGGGGGGGGGGGGGTGCTGAGTTGAGTGTAAATGGTTTCGATCTTTGATTGAAAAAATGTCAGAAAGGAGTTGCATTTGTCAGTTGTGATGGAGGAGAGGGTGTTGTTGAAGTGTTTGAGGAGTTTATTGACAGTGGAAAAGAGAGTCTTGGGGTTTTTGGAGCCAGAGTGAATGAGTTGTGAGTAGTAGTTGGACCGGGCGGCAGTGAGGGCGTCTTTGTAATTTGAAAGGTGGTCTGTATAGGCATGGAGATGGACTGTGAGACTGTTTTTTTTGTAAGGTCTTTCAAGCTGGCACTTACGGGTTTTCATGTGATGGAGTTCAGGAGTGTACCAGGGAGATGAGTGAGTGAATGAGACAGTTTTGGTCTTTAAAGGAGCCAGTTTTTCGAGGCAGAGGGACAGTGTGTTGTTGTAGTGGGTTACTAGGTCAGAGGGGTTTGGGGTCAGCGGGGTGGTGGATGCGGACAGCGTGTTTGCCAGTGAGTCAGAGAAAGCTGAGGGGGAGATGGACTTGATATTTCTGAAGGATATGTTGCGTGTGAGTTTTGGGGGAGGGAGTTGGGTCTTGAAGTCTGCAGTGATGGCCAGGTGATCCGAGATGTGGAGGTTGGTACTGGAGAGTTGGTGTATGGTGAGACCAGTGGATCAGACTAGGTCCAGGATGTGGCCGTGACAGTGGGTGTGGAAGTTGACATGCTGGTTGAAGTGAAGGCAGTGGAGCAGTTCCAGGAGGTCTATTGCACTTTTACAGTTTGGATCATCAATGTGGATATTGAAGTCCCCAAGCAGGAGAATTGAGGGGGATACGGCGGATAGCTGGGTGAGGAATTCGGCGAGGTCTGAGAGGAAGGAGTTGTTAGGTTTGGGAGGGCGGTAGATTATGGTGATGACCAGGGAAGTGGGACCAGACAGTTTGAGGGCTACATGTTTGAAGGACTGAGCAGGATGTATGGAGATTGTGGACATTTTAAAGTATTTCCTGTAGATGGCAGCAACGCCACCACCCCGTCCGTCTGGGCGGGGTTTGTCAGTGTAGGTGTAGTCAGTGGGTGTGGTCTGGTTTAAGGAGAAGTAATCCAGGGGTTTGTGCCAGGTTTCGGTGAGGCAGAGGAAGTCCAGTTTATTGTCAGTGATGAATTCATGTAGGATGGCACTTTTGTTGGTCAGTGAGCGGGTGTTGAGTAGAGCCAGTTTCAGGTGTTGTTGGGTTTGAGTAGTACAGGGGGTGGCAGGAGTGCAGAAGATGGGGCACAAGTTTTTGTTATTCACAGTCTTAGTGCGG